GCAGCAAGTCTATAAAGGCTCATTTCAGAGACTTCTTTTGAATCTGTGTGCTCATTCCGAGACCAGGACTGCATTAGTTAAAATTTTGATGGAGATGCTGATGCTTGATGAGCATAAGCTGGGCAGTCAGCAAAATGATGCTGAGCCTTCATATCGGTTGTATGCTTGCCAAAGCCATGTGATGTATTCACGCCCTCAGTTTGTTGATGGTAAGACTTATTGTAATTTTACTCATGGAATTTATTATTTACTAATGGAGCTTTGCTTGCTTCTGTTTGATTTGATTCTATGTGGATGTGTTCACGAGAAGATCCACTGTATAATTGTAATCAAGGCTTCTTTGGAACTTGAATTTGTAGACTGTTCAAATTCCTTTACATATGAATGTTCACTTTATTCCATTTTTGTTTTGATATGAAGTTCAACATTTTGAAATGCATTTTTCTTACTTCTTCCTTTTATTCCTCTTATTGTATGGTCTTTCATGTGGTGATTAGGAGTCCCTCCTTTGGTTTCTCGGCGAGTTCTTGAAACTCTAACCTACCTGGCTCGAAATCATCCCTTTGTTGCTAAGATTCTGCTCGAACTGAGATTGCCACTTGAGTCTCATTGTGCATCTGAGAATTCAGATAAAGTTCGTGGTAAAGCGTTGATGATTGTTGATGCTCAAAATTCTGAGGCGCATGAAGAGTTGCATTCTGTTGCTCTGTTATTGGGACTTTTGAATCAACCTCTTTATTTGAGGAGCAATGCACACTTAGAACAGGTGAAGATATTATGTTGATGGCGTTTCTGTCTTAGTTTCATTTGTATCTTTTGCTCTGGTTCGATAATGATGTTTTCTATTTCATGCCAGCTCTTAAGTCTATTGGATGTTATAATTGACAATGCTGGAAGCAAATCTAGCCAAAATAAACCTGGATTACCTGCTCCAGAACAGCCGTCTGGCTCTTCTGAGGTACCTACAACCGATGCTGAGATGCAACCTACTGATTCAGGAGCTATTTCTTCTGAAGTCAATGTGGAATCTAAAGTTGATGAATCTATGGTACCTTCAGTATCTGGTTCAAGTGAGGCTTATGATGCTCAGACTGCGCTGCTTAGCCTTCCTCAATCTGATCTTAGGCTGTTATGTTCTTTACTTGCAACTGAGGGGTAAAGTTCTTCAAATCATTTGTTAATGTCATAAATTTCCTCTTGTTTTATTCATAGGGTTGCGTCACTTGTGTGTTCCATTGCTCTCCAAAATTGTATGCTTAACATACTTCACTATTCCTTGTTGGCTTTCAGAGAATGGTCACTTTGCACCATATCTTTGTCTTATTATCTTTTGTTGTTCTGCATTTCTACTGAGCTCATTTGTGTTGCCTTTTTGCTTTTTAAAAATAACGTAAGGTTTTATTCAGTTTGTCAGATAATGCTTATGCACTTGTTGCTGATGTGCTGAAGAAGTTGGTGGCTTTTACTCCATCTCATTGTCATTTATTCATAACTGAGCTTGCAAACTCGGTGCAAAATTTAAGTCAATCTGCCATGGAAGAGTTGCATTCCTTTGGAGAGGCTGAAGGAGCACTCCTACATTCTACTTCTTCTGACGGAGCAGCGATACTGAGGGTGTTACAGGCTCTTAGCTCTCTTGTTTCCTCTGTGAACGAGAAGCAAGAAGATCAGCAAAATGTTGTTGGAAAGGATCACAATGTTGCCCTTTCTCTTGTTAGCAAAATCAACTCTGTTTTGGAACCCTTATGGCTGGAGCTGAGCAGTTGCATAAGCAGAATAGAGGTTTATTCGGAGTCTGGCCTTGAACTACCTCCATCTCTAGCTGTCAAATCTAAACCTTCCACTGCAAGCCCACCTCTTCCTGCTGGCAGCCAAAATGTTCTACCTTACATCGAGTCTTTCTTTGTGACATGTGAGAAAATATATCCTGGACAGCCTGGTGCAAGTCAGGACTTCACTGTTGCTGCTGTTCCAGAAGTAGATGATGCCAGTACTTCTGCCAGCAAGCAGCAGGTATCAGGCCCTGTCTCCTGTGTTGATGAGAAGCGTGCTGCTTTTGTGAAGTTCACTGAGAAGCATCGGAAGTTGTTGAATGCTTTTATACGGCAAAACCCTGGGCTGCTTGAAAAGTCCTTTTCCTTGATGATAAAGGTTCCTCGTTTCATTGATTTTGATAACAAACGTGCTCACTTTAGATCAAAGATAAAGCATCAACATGACCATCATCACAGTCCTTTGAGGATTTCAGTGAGAAGAGCATACATTCTTGAAGATTCATACAATCAACTGCGAATGAGGTCTACCCAAGAATTGAAGGGAAGGTTGACTGTGCATTTCCAGGGAGAGGAAGGTATTGATGCCGGAGGGCTAACTAGGGAATGGTATCAGTCATTGTCCCGGGTTATCTTTGACAAAGGTGCCTTATTGTTCACTACCGTGGGCAATGATTCTACCTTTCAGCCGAACCCAAATTCTGTGTATCAGACTGAGCATCTATCGTACTTCAAATTTGTTGGGCGAGTTGTAAGTATACTATCTTCATCCATGCAAATTTGTGTCATTTACTTAGTTACTGGTGCTGAGCTACATGAAACATTACAGGTTGGCAAAGCCCTTTTCGATGGCCAGCTTTTGGATGTTCATTTTACTCGCTCATTTTACAAGCATATCCTTGGTGTAAAAGTGACTTATCATGACATAGAAGCCATTGATCCAGACTACTACAAAAATCTTAAATGGATGCTTGAGGTATGTATCTTGTTTTGCTGTGTCCTCTTTATAAGTCATATGTGAAACTTTTCTTTGCTTCTTTTATCCCCTTCATATTTTTTTTTGCCTCTTTAGAATGTCCTTTCTTACCATCTCTATGTTTCTGCAGCATGATATAAGTGATGTGCTAGATCTTACTTTCAGCATTGATGCTGATGAAGAGAAACTGATATTATATGAAAGGACACAGGTATGAATTCTCTCTATTTACCATGTGTGTGTGTGTGTGTGTGTGTGTGTTTTCCCCCTCAAAGGTAAGGTTTTAACATTTACACTTGGCTGAATAAATACAGGTGACGGATTATGAGCTAATTCCTGGTGGACGAAACATTAAAGTCACAGAGGAGAATAAGCATCAATATGTAGATTTAGTTGCGGAACACAGATTGACAACTGCAATTCGTCCTCAAATTAATGCTTTCTTGGATGGATTCACTGAGCTGATTGCTCGAGACCTCATATCCATTTTCAATGACAAAGAACTTGAATTATTGATAAGTGGGCTTCCGGATATTGATTGTAAGTATTGTGTTCTTTAACCACGCATCCTAGGCCCAAAGAAATTCTCTTTAGTGCCTTTCTTTCTGGTCTCTGACCATCCATATTTGTTTTGCAGTGGAGGATATGAGAGCGAATACCGAATATTCTGGGTACAGTCCTGCATCTCCGGTTATTCAGTGGTTCTGGGAGGTGGTCCAGGGATTTAGCAAGGAAGATAAGGCACGCTTACTGCAATTTGTTACTGGCACTTCCAAGGTGATTTTTTTATTTTTTTTTCTAATAAATATATTTATATGATTTAGTTTTGGCATTTTGTTTGGATTAGCCCAAAAGTTATGGGGTGATTCCTTTTGTTATTTCATTTTAGACCTTGTCTTCTTACAATGGTTTTTGATCTAATTTTGATACCTTCTGTTATTCTTTCAGGTTCCCCTTGAAGGTTTCAGTGCCCTTCAAGGCATTTCAGGCGCACAAAAGTTTCAAATACACAAAGCATACGGAAGTCCAGATCATTTACCATCTGCGCATACATGGTAAAAAAAAATCTCTTGGTCAAACTTCGTCAGTTGTCCCATTGTAAGATGTGCTTAGATTTTTTATAAATGACTAAACTTTGATTTTTAATCTCAAACAGCTTCAACCAGTTAGATCTACCCGAGTATCCTTCTAAAGAACATCTGCAGGAGAGGTTACTGCTCGCGACCCATGAAGCTAGCGAGGGATTCGGATTTGGCTAAGAATCTTGATTTATTTTGGGTAGTGGGAACGAGAGAGTTACTGTAGATAAAAATTGTTTCCTTAGTTATCATTGAGCTGTAATTGGGAGGGCAAGTTGGAATGTGGACTTTTGAGTTGGTAAAATTGTTAATATAATGTACAGTTCTATTAATTTGTCCACCTATATAATTGATACATGGCAGTTTTTGGTCTTGCCAATTTGCATTTAGTCTGAAGGTATTATATAAAGTTAAATCTTATTTTTCCATAGCTAATAGCTTTGAGAGTGCGAAAAAAGACTTATTTTAAGAAAAAGCTTCCATTAGTAAAGGGGAAGCGTTAATCAATTAATCAGCTAATTGGTTTTACAACTAATAATAAAACCAAGTTGTCCTTTTTTTTTTTTTGGCCTTCAAAAAACCATACATGATACATGTACCCAAGGAGTTTAAAAAGCATGTTCCATTGTCTTGTTGGGTTATATAAATGCCTAAATGACTTGAAATTCTTTTTATGAATGAAAATTTCTAATACGATGTATTAAGAAGACATCAAAGTATCCATTAACTTTTATCCATTATTAACGAGTTAAAGTAGAAATATTAAGCATTAACTAATCATTAATAATGTTCTACACAAAGAGCTTCAACTATTTAATTCATAAGTCTTCGCGAGATAAATCATGAAATCATAATTTTCACATAGGATAAGCAAAGATTAAATTAAAGTTTTTTTTTTTTTTTTTTTTTTTTTTATGACAATTATAGTAATGATTCATTCGTGTTTAACAAAGAAAAACCCAAATCTAAATTATGGGAATGATTATCAACCTAGTGTATTCATTAACTTTTATTCTCGTCAAGTAGTACACCTACTACATCTAATGGACCCTCTAATCATCTTAATCAGACAACTCACACGTTTCCCGTGTTATTAATGACATTTTCGTGATTTTAAGATATGGTCGAAATACTAAATTTGGTCCAAAACCAACACCCTTGCACTATTTCGACCATATCTTAAGATCTAGAAATGGTATTGACCTGATTGCAATTGGGTTAGAAAGTAGACATTTAGATCTTTCCAATGATATATTATTTGTCTTAATCCGAGTATAGAATCAAAAATTATGATAAAAACAAAAATCGTAAAAAAAACTGAAAAAGAAATGCCTAGAAATTTTGAAATTCTAGAAGGAGAAACGCCTAGAATTTTTGCTTCTCCCTTGAAATTTCGAAAATTCCACTACCGGATTTTCGAAAAAATCAGGCGTTTGGCCTCCTCCTAAACATTAAAAAAAAAAAAAAAAAAAAAAAACACGACTTAAACTCCGGAGATGATATTACCTTCGTTCGATGGTGGTTTGTTGGAAGGAAAATGTTAGATTGAGTTAAAGGGAAGAAAAACATGAAATATAGGTGAGGGTATGTTCATACATTCATGTTATGTGGATATTACCTGATAAAATATGAGTATCGTTTGGCTTTCCACTAAAATTCCTTTTTTTTTTTTTTTTTTCCGTTCTTTTTATAGATGTCACGTGACTTTTTGTTAATGGATCGATACATTCCAACGAAACAGCAGCACAGTGTCCACAGCACTTGTGTTGTGTAAGCAAAACCAACTTTCCCCACTCTTCGTTCCTGAAACCATACTCTTACCAATTTCAATGGCGCTATCATTACATTTCTTCCATCACCCTAAACTCTCCTCCATTTCAAGTTCAACACCTCCTAAAAACTCACTTTCTCTCTCCTCCATAACCCCATCTTCCACTAAAATGCCCACTTTCTCTCTCCTCCGAAATCACCATCTTCTTAGAAATCGTCCCCCAATCAAACCCCCCTTTTCACCTTCTTTCTCAAATACCCAGTTCAAATTTAGAGTCAATGCTTCTTCTAGTAAACCTGTATCTTCTTCTTCTTCAAAAAGTAGCAGTACAAAATCAATTGTTTTCTGGGCAATTGTTACCGCCATTTTAGCGGTTTCTAACAGGGTTTTTTACAAGCTTGCTCTTGTTCCTCTTCAGAATTACCCCTTTTTCTTGGCTCAATTCATCACTTTTGGGTAACATTTTTTGCACCCCTTTTTTATTTGCTTTCTTTTGGATTATGGGTAATCGCTAATTTTATCAGACTTAATTAATTGTCAGTTTTACTGATTTTTATGTTTTCAATACTTTTGATGGGTACTATAATTATGGTGATTGCTGATCATGAACTTCAATGTGATGATAGAATTAAGGTTTAATAGCTGGTTTTGGTAATTTTGGTATTGTTATATATGGTGTATAGAGAAGGGTGCCTAGAGTCACAAAGGTTATGATGTAGACGGGATTAAGGGGATCGCCCCCACGAGGTTGATCCACTGACTTTGTTGTTGTAAATGATTTTCTGATGTGTTTTTAATTTCTCTTAGCTAAGTAAATTAAAGCATTTATTGAGTGATTTATGCATTTTCCGCTTGTTATTTTTACTGTTAAATTTTAATTTTCAGCTACTCTGTATGAACGACTAGGATTTCCTTAATTGTATTGAATGAACGACTATAAAAATTGGTTATGTTATGAATGTTGTTTCTTGTGTACAGTAGATCCTTTCATTGTGATTGAGTGTTGTTGTAACTTGTAAGTCGTCAGGTCTTACAAGAGGTTCTGAATTTCTGATTTATGCAACACAGGTATGTGGCTATTTACTTTGCTATATTGTTCATTCGACACCGTGCAGGCATAGTGACTGATGAAATGCTAGCTATTCCGAAATCTCGTTTTGTGCTCATTGGTCTTCTTGAAGCACTTGGTCTTGCTGGTGGCATGGCATCTGCAGGTACAGCTGACTGATTGACTTATTCACTAGATACTTGTAATGCATTAGTTTTCATGGGTTTGTATGAGAATCGGTTACAGATGTTCCTTAAATTCTAATATTATGATCCATTTTAAACAACCTCATTGCAATCAGGATAAAGCTGCATCCTTTTACGGTTTTGACTCTATTGCTCTCTAATCTTCCCTAGGTGGAAACCTCTTTAAAAGCATTTTGTGGCAATGGGATCGAAAAATATTCAGTATATATAGTATTTCACCTTATTCATCTTGTTCTCGTTTCTCATTATGTCTATTGAAAACTGCAATCTAGAATGCCGGTCACGCCTTTGTATTGTGATCAAATTGTTAGATTAACTTATTGAAAAACAAACATGGTTTACTCCCTCTCAGTCTTTGCCCTCTGGTTCTGCCAAAGATCTTTCCTTAGTCACCATTTTTCTTATACCAGTACCATTTTTTTTGCAGCCATGATTCCTGGCCCAGTGATACCAATTTTGCATCAGGTAAATTGAGTAGTTGCAAGTGAAATAGATGTTCGGTTTCATGATTGTACTACTATAATTTATCTGGTTATGGCTTTGTTCTCGTACTGAATTATAATTCCTCTATGACCCAACAAGATTTGCAAACTGCTGCCATCAGTAAATTTATACCAAATGGATTAACTTTATTAATTATCGTGAAATCAGATGAAAGTAGTTAGCATATGTGCTTCTGTGAGCTGTTATTAATGGAAGTCATGTTTACTGACCCTAAAGAGGCAATAGTAAGTATTGTACCTATAGTAACTGTCTTACTTATCTCTACTCAATACTGTATGGAACCATACAGATTTCTCCCAGCTGACGGTACGGATCTGTATTTGGGCTTAGCAGAGGTTGTGCCTTAATCTGTGAGCTTTAATTACTGGCTACTCCTCCCTTTGGCTTTATTCTGATATTCTTTTGTCACAGTTTGGGCACAACTGATTAGTTATCCAGCTCTTACTATAACAGCCTTGACACTATTGAAGTTGTGCACTATAACTTCAGTGTTGGATCCCCAGTACTTACTGAGATTTGTATTGCAATGTTTATGGACTGATATCTGAACAATTATCTTTTTGCTAGGAGCTAGGTTATATGTATATCTGGTGTGATACTGATCTGAAACAGAGTTTTTAACATCTAATGCAAAATTTACCTGTCATAACTGTTGAAAATGTTTTAACTTTTAAGCAACATAAGACCTTAAAATCAGTTGAATCTGATCTCTGATATTACCTCATCTTGTGCCCTCTCACAGACTTTTCTGGTGTGGCAACTGTGTCTCTCTTATATCATCTTGGGCAGGCGTTATTCATTTATGCAAATAGTTGGCTGCTTACTTGTGGCTGCTGGTGTCGTCGTTGCAGTTTCTAGGCATGTTCAAGCTCTCAACTATATTTCCAGATCATGAACTAATTAATTTGATGCACCACTATTGTTTTCAATAAGCTATCTTTTCGGTCCTTGACTCTTTGCACTTCTCATACAGCACTCCTGAAGGTGTAATGCACACACACAACTTTCATAATTCCATAGGTAATTGAATGTAGTAAAATTTTATGTCCTGCCTTTTGTGCGCCAGTAACTCTTGACTATATGAGAGGCAACTTGCCAGTAATACAGATATTTTTTATCCTATAATGCTAGCATTTGAAAAGTATGTTTGGTCTGGAAGGACAGCCAATTTTATTTTTTCTTTTCTTTTCTTCGTCTCCTTTATTTTTTTTATTGGAGATGGAGATGGGGGGCATTGGAATCATGGAAGTTGTGAATGAGTTCTCTTATGCATGCTAACTGCAGAATTCATGTTTGCGAGAAAGCAATTCTGATGTCAATTTTATGTGTTTCAGGTGTCCTAAATGACCATTTGCAGCCACTTATCCCTGTATTTACTGTTTGTTTTTTTTTTTTTTTTTTTTTTTTGTCTGCAGTGGGTCTGATGGTCACCGAATCCTTTCTGGAATTGCATTTGCGTGGCCAGCTCTCATGATTGCTTCAGGTGCTTTCCATGCTGCCGCATCTATCTTGAAGGTCATATTTTTTTTTTCATTTTGTTAGTTTCTACAGCTCGTGATACGTCCATACGTGTGACAATAATAGTTCTTCAAACTAACAACACAATTTTTATGGACAGGAATTTATATTTGTTGATGCTGCAACGCGGCTCAAGGTATTATTGGTCATTACGATTTCATACTCTTCTTGTCCTGCATCATTCTTCAGACGATGAAGACTTCTGGATGCTCTTTTGTCTTTTTTCTTTAATATTATAATCCTTTTAGTCATGGTTTATTAACCTTAAGATTTTCTGATCATGCAGGAGAAGTCTCTTGACATATTTGTTGTCAACTCCTTTGGATCTGGCTGTCAGGTAATACTTGTCACATACCTTGTCCATTCTTTTCTTTGAAAATTAGAAATTGACGATTTCTTTTTATTTTTGGGTATTCTAGGCTCTTTTTGTTCTTGTTTTGCTCCCATTGTTATCAAATTTGAAAGGTATTCCATTTGATCAACTGCCTCAGTATCTAAAAAGTGGAGCTGGTTGCTTTTTGAACATTGGAGCCAATAACACAGGCAAGTTCTCTTGACTGAATAGAATATCATACCTGTCCGAGCATCGATCTAATTTGGAGGTTATTGAACTAGTTGCTGTGTAAAAAGGGTTCTGGTAGTCAACATTAGTTAAAGTAGAAGTAAAGAAACAATGGAATTGGTTGATAAAAAAAGGTGATGTTGTGACCATTCACAGTTTTCTAGAAGTTTTTCTTCCTTGTTCATCTAGATTCTTGACTTAGTCTGTAGTCACTTTATATAGAGGCTGTAATGTGATATTCCTTGTGTGTATCCACATAAAGGAAGCAAGGAATTGTCTTTATTTACTTTTTAAAAAGAAAAAATATATGCAAAATTGCAAACTCCGACCATTGGATGATGGGGCAAGGAGAAGGTAAGGCACTTAGACTTGGAGGAATGCCCATTTTGGGGTAAATCTACTGGGCTGTGAGCAAACTGCTCTGACCCCGATTTATGAAAGAGACGAATAAATGACCTGAAAAAAGTTTTCAAGGATTCAACCGACTAGTCTTATGTTTGTATTCCATTTTTCAAGTTAGTGTACTTATCAGCTGTAGAATAATCTCTGTTTTATGACGGGCTGATCTGGTAATTTAATTTTGTGCTCACAATCAACAAATGCTTACATTCTTCTTTCTTTTTGGATTAATGAGAGACTGAGAGGAGGTCTGTCAAGGCACAAACACCAGCACAATTTTGGTAAAGGGGGAGGGGGGAAGGTCGAATTCAGAACCTAATATAGCCAATACAGTGTTTATTTTATTTGAAATAATTTAGAATGCTATGGATGTTTCTTTCAGGATGTGATGGAGCTCCGCTGCTACCCCTTCTGTATGTGGTCAGCAACATAGCATTCAACATATCAGTCCTCAATCTACTAAAAATTTCAAGTGCCGTTGTGTCTTCACTTGTTACCATGTTATCAGGTTGTCTTTTCACTCTCAAGTGCTTCTTTTCTCCCTCCACAAATTCGATTCTTTGATTTTATACTTCATACTTTACATTTTTTAAGTGGTTTTTTTTTATCTTAATTTGCAGTGCCAATTTCCATTTATATTCTTTCCCTCCCATTGCCATATCTCCCTGAAAGTTCAAGCTTGGGCTCATACTTCGTCCTTGGAAGTGCAATTTTGATGTTAGGACTAGTTTGTTACAACTTACCTCAGTATTTTAGCAAAGCTCTTGACAAAAATGGGGAATCATAACGAATTATGACTCTGCAATAGATTTTGAGCATAAATTTTGAGCATTGTCGATTCGTCGGATACTCATTTTTCTTTTACTGTGAAACATTGAATATAATATCCTGATACATTTTTGTATATAGTCTGGATGAAATAGTACTATACTGCTGTTAAGTTTGATGAATTATTTGTAACAGATTTTTTGGGAAGAAGTATTAAAGATCTAAACCACAGCCCCACTAGGCCACTAGTTCAGGTCGATGGCATTTTCGTGGCTGATACAACTATACAAGTAAACATCATTGGGAATTTGGGATATACATTTCTAAATACCTATACTAAGAAATTATTGATTGAGAATGCTCTGTACTTTGTAGTAATGTTCTACACATAAGGATTACGGAGTACCAATTATTAACTATACCTATGACTCTATGAGAGAAGCTCCGAGTCTGGACATTGTTACATCTACCCACTATCACCAATCAATTAACCATTAACCATATATGGGTGCAAAATTTAACCCACTTTTGCCACTTTGATACTCCGTATAAAATAAAGTAACGATGATGTAAACAATAGTACTTAGGGCTTGTTTTATTCACCTTATAAAAATAAGTTTTAGGTCTAATAAGTTCAGATAAGTTAAAATAAGGTATAATAAGTTCAATAAGGTCTAATAAGCTCAATAAAATTTAAGAAGTTCCAATAAGTTATATAAGTTCTAATAAGTTAAACAAGGTCTAATAAGGTCAATAAGTTTCAATAAGGTCTAATAAGTTTTAATAAGTTTAATAACGTCTAATAAGTTCAATTAAGTTTAGATCCAATAAGGTGAAGAGAACACACCCTTAATTTGTAAACCAAGTTTTTTCCTCTTCGAAAATATCTTAGATAAAGCGTTCTAAATTCAAAGAATATCAAAATTTGACCAGATCATATTCTTTATCGTATTAAAAGAACAAATACTTTAAACCCGTTACATAAATTTGGAAATGAGCTAAAAGCAAATTGATACGGAGTAATATAATCTAAAACAGTCCATAACAATCGTCTTTTAGGTAATTCATGAATATTTTTTCCTCATCAAGATCCATTCTAACTTGTCACTTAAAATTACCCAAATCAAAGTCCGTAATAATCGTACAATTGTCCAAAACAAAAGTTAAAAATCCCCTTTTTTTATTAAAAAAAAAAGTACAAATAAAAATAAATTACGGAGTATCAGAATATATTTTAATTTTAAAAAAGTCAGCTTTAAAATTACGAAAGCAAAACCGCGTAAATTCCGTATATTAATACCACGCGTCTTCTCAAAACCGCAAACTCGTGCTTCTCTCTCACGCACCTCTTTCCCTCTTTTCACTTTCTCTCTCCTCACTTCACTTCCTATTTATACTCCCCTCACTTCTTCTTCATTATTTCCACTTTCTCTCTCCTCTCTCAAAAACCTCAACAATGGCGGCCATTACTGAAGACAAGAGCAACTCCTCTTCCTCCCACTCTCTCTCCTCCGTCTACCTCTCCGACACTGCTGAGGTCAAGAAAGTCTTCGACAAATTCGACGTCAATGGCGACGGAAAAATCTCCGCCGACGAACTCATCGGCGTCATGAAAACGCTTGGATCGGAAACCTCGCCGGAAGAAGTTGCGCAAATGATGGAGGAAATGGACTCCGATCGTGATGGATTCATCAATCTCGAGGAATTCGCCGACTTCTGCTCGAAGAAAGTTGAAGGTGATGAGTCTGGTTCGCAGGAACTTCATGATGCGTTTAAGATGTATGATCAAGATGGTGATGATTTGATCTCTGCTGCTGAATTGCACCTCGTTCTGAGTCGACTCGGTGAAAGGTGTTCTGTTGAAGATTGTGAGAAGATGATTCAGTCTGTTGATTCTGATGGTGATGGTAATGTTAGCTTCGAGGAGTTTCGGAAGATGATGACGAAGAGCAAATCGGCAGCGAAGACGGTTTCGTCGTAAAATTAGGTTTTCTCTCTGATTTTATCATCAATTTCTGCTAACTGTTTGTACTTTTAATTGTTAGCGTAAATTTCTAATTTCCTCTGATTTTATGTTTGGAGTTTTTAGTGATTTAATCACGAGTTTTAGCAGTTAAATTTGAAATAATTGTGTTTAATACTACTTTAATCTCAACTTTATATTGTTATTAATTTTTGTAATTAGTTGTTGGAGTTCATAGTAGTTATTAATCTGCTGTCAAATCAATCGTTTTATTCGATCAAAATAATTTTGAACTATTTGGTTGGAGGTTTTTCAAGATACTTGTCTTAATCAACAAGTGTATCAACTATCAAGCCAGAATATGGAATTTTAGGGGTCAACTTGCTTGCCAATACCTGTTGTCCGCTGAAATGGAGAAGACTGGATTCGGTCCAAGTTACGTTGGGCCGAAGGTTTCCTGCACAGTAAACACACGTAAACTAGCCTCGGGGGTGTTGCCGAGGAAGGCCCCTCCGATGCTAAAGTCAGTACAATGTGTAAGAAGAAGATACTATGCAAGAGAGCTTGTAGCTTGAGTCTTTTGTGGAATATCTCAGAATGTATGAATCTATCTAAGAATCAGAATATGAATCTATATCAATGAAATCAGAATATGAATATCTGAATATATGTGTATCTGAATATCATGGCTTTTATACCTCATCTTACATGGAGAGGTTGGGCCTTAGCCCAATTGGCTTGCTTTGTGGGCTGACCTTTGACTTTAGCACAATTTGGAGAGTTGAACCTTGACTTTGGGCTTTTAATTGGATCATTTAGTGCTTAGGCCCAATTGGACTAAATTGGACCCAAACAACTTGCCCCCCAGACCCGATTTGGAAGGATGACGGGTCGGGTTTGATTTAATTCAGAAAAGGAGGTAAGTAAATGATTTAATTAATCCGAAAATTTGAATTTAAACCGTAATTAATGAGATAACAACGGTTAATGATTGTGGAAGTTGGACGGATAATGGGCAGTTTAATCACAAGATCATGTGTTTAATGGTTACTTAGTGGAGTATTTAAGAGAAATTAAAACGCAAACTCCTCGTATCCCGTACCTGGAGATATAAACAGAGGCGCGTCATTTCTCCTCACTTATTCATCAACACAAACCCAGAATTCTCGAGAGAGAAACCAAGAACCCGCATCAAAACTTCGCAAATTCCCCGAGCATTAAGCTTAGAAACTGAGACTTGCCACTACGAACTCGTAAATCGGCAACTTTCGCTTCAGATTAAGGTAAATTCCTCTGATTTCAGTTTATTTTTCTTCGAATTCGAACTCCTTCCCCTTTTCTTTCGACTTTTCTCTTCGAAATAATCAATGGCAAGAGGAGTTAGAGGTAGAGCCCGTGCTCCAAGAAGAGCAAGGCCGATTCCCGATCCTAGGAACAGGATTGGGACCTGGAATGGTCAAAGGCCGGAGTCTGACCCTGCTGAAGGGATTAGGGCGACTCCCCTTTCCTCGGCTCCTCCTCAGAGAACGGAGGAGCCGAGCGCTTCTGGACGGGATGATGAAGTTCCCGCTGTCCTTTGGGATATCCTCCCCGGGTTTTCAGAATGGGAGAATGCCGAAGTTGCTTCGGCCATGATAAAGAACCGCCCCTACTCATGGTGGGTGGAGAATGCCGATCAATATCGATTTGCCGAGCAAATTGAGTTGCATTACGGCATTTTTGAAGCTGATGGGTACTGGTGCCGAATGCCCTCGGCACCCGATAGAATCCATCGTCCACCCCCGGGGTATGTGGGGGTGTACACAAGACAGCTTCAGTACGGGCTGAGATTCCCTTTGGACGTATTCGTCCGAGACTTGCTGATCCATTACAACATCTCTCTATGTCAGTTAACCCCCACCAGCATCCGAAGGGTGATGACATACTTATGGGTCTGCAAGTTCTTCAAGTACGTGCCGAACCTGCACTGCTTCAAAAAGCTCCATCGGCTGGTGCCAAATATTCAAAGTGGGCACGGAAGCCATGGTTCTGGGTGGTACCGGATTGAGTCTCGGCCCCAATACCTAACCATGTGGCCAAACGACTCTTCAGACAAGGACTGGAGAGGTCAATGGATTTGGGTTAGGGCACCCACAGATCCGGGCCACCCTTGCGTCTTCAGCGCTCCCCGGTACCTTGCTGAGCCTGATCCCGAAATGGGAAGTCTAGGTCCCCCCGCAGATAACGGGGCGGATCCGAACCTGGATCAGCAACATATCTTCGGCAAGCTGCCGAACCGGGGGGGCAGTGGCCGAATGCAGCATATCCCGGAGACTTGGCTCCCCGATACGCATTACGTTTTCCAAGAGAACATGCTAGCAGCTGTTGGCCTCAGCCGAAAGTTTAAGGATGGTAAGCTTCTTCGGCTGGGGCCGAGGCTTTTTAATTATCTCTTTTTCTTCTCTCGCTTCGCTTTTTTATGCTGTGCCAATCTATCCGAGCTAACCTTTCCCCTTTCCTTTTTTCAGAGCGGGACGAGACCAACGTTGGCATTAACTACGCTCGTCTTGGTGTCAACCGAGAACGAGTTGTAACTGAACGGGCCCCGTCTATCACTGAGCCGAGGCATAGGGAAGTTCATCTAGACTCTTCCCACTTCCAAATTGAGGCTGTCGCTCTGTATCAGAGGCAGAAGCCTTGGTGGAAGAAGAGAGACCCTTGGTTTCAGCTGCTGGACGAAGAAGCTGAAGCTGCCCGCACAGCCGAAGAGGTTGCACGGGTACTCGAAGCTTGCAAAGGAGGAGAAGGGTCCTCCAGAGCTGCTGAAGCCGAAGCTGCAGCTAAAGCAGCTGAAGAAGACGAGGCTTTGCTGAAGACCTCGGTGAGCTTTCAGACTTAACTTTTTCTTTTTTCTTTTCTTCTTTTTTTTTTTTTTTTTTTTTTTTACTCACATTCTTCCTCCCCCCTGTCTGTTACAGTCTGAAGAGAGTAACAGACACAGAGAAGGCAAAGCTCCTGTTCGTCCCGAAGACCAAATACAAGAGTCTTCAGACTCAGATATGGACGAGCAGCCCCTTCTGAAAAGGCGCCGAAGGATGGCCATCATCGGCCCTCATGACTTTCAGCGGAGGCCGATGACCATCGGCGTCGCAATAAGGGAACCCGAGGAAGGCAACGGATCGCCGAGGGTTCCC